ATTTAGACTATGTGGCTCAGAAAACATGCAATCTTACATAATTAAAATATCTAATTCCATAATTCTTGTTTATAAATTATAATACGATGAAATGCATTATCTTCTTCCTTTCTCTAAGTGATCTTTGAAGTCTTCTAAGTGACAATAAGCTGTAATCAACGTAAAATATGACAGGAGTAGCTTCTTTTTAATGGAATTATAGAACTAAAATGCCTACTCCATTTATAGAAGAAATCCGATGAAACCGTCACCAAACAATCTGCCTCTAGGTAGAATAAAAAAGACCACAGAATGCAATTTGTAAGCCTTTTTAGCACAGTCCTCTTCAATTTCTGTGACTTCCTTACTGCACACTCATTGCTAAACAACGATGCAACTTTAAAATGTGGAAGTGGCAAATTAAAACGGCTGCCTATAAATGAATTAAATGCAAAATTGCAAAAATGTAACAGATCCAGTCGACTACTTTTTATAAAGTACAAATCTCTAAAGTGAGTGAAAAGGGCAGGTAGCTATTCAATGGTTTCCTGGAAATGCACATGGAAAACTGACAAATGATTTTAGGCCCTCAGTAAATAAGCCTGTCTTTACCTCAAAATTCTGGAACTCACAATTTCATTTCTACCTTTGCACAGGGTCAGGTTAATTTCAGCATTTGCAAAACAAGAAAACAAAATCCGAGTTGGACATTGGGTCCCTCGCCAGGTTTAGGGTATGTTTTCTCATCTCCTTCCCAGCCAAATGTCTTGAGAGAAGTTCATTTTGTCTTCAATCTTTTTATCCCATTTCATGTGCCAGAAATTGCTCTCTCTCTATTCAATAGAATTCCACTTCTCTTTCTAAGGAACAGAACCCTGATTTTGTTGGGACTGGAAATACATCAAGTCCTTAAAAATTACATCATCCAGATCTCCTTGGAATAAGATCAGCTAAATGTCACAGTTCAGGCCAGGGAGACATGGAGACTGCTGCTGGGTGAGGGATATAGGAAAGTACCTCAAAGGGTTGTAGACTCAGTTGCGATGTGTCTGTTTGGCCCCTTCTTTTCCTACTACTATCTCTTGCTTAAATGATGTGATGATTGCCACTGGAACTACCTCCTTCTAGGTCTCTCAGACCTCGGCTCAAACATCACCCCCACAGGGAGATCTTCCCTGACTCCATTAAATTGTGATACATGATAGAAGCTTCAAATCAGCCATTCTGAAGTACTTACACCACAAAGATTGGCAGGTGCTATAAACTGTGGGCTCTTCCCCAGAGAGCTACTTGTTAATCTCTTACCAAAACACCCCTGTCTCCCATGCAAGATCAGATGATCTGCTCAGTGGGTTTAAATTTTCTTGTTCAATATCTTAGTGCTCAAAAATGAATTAAATATGCATAAGGGAAGATATTATACCTGACATGCTCTATTCCTACCACTCAGAAATGTTAGCAAGTAAAATAAGCGCTTTATAACATTCAGGGAAAGGAGGTTGGGAGAGGAAAAAAAGAGATTCTATAAAGCTGAAAACTGAAAAGCAGGATAAGTAGGTAACAAATTCTTGAAAAACAGATTTTGAAGTGCATATCACAAGTATAAAGTACTTACGACTGCAAAGAATTAAAATCTAGAATATAGAAATAAGTTTTGCTAATCAGTGTGAAAAGGAAAGCAACCCCCAAGGAAAACTGGACAGAGGAGTGTTACAGAAAAGGAAATCCAAGTCTAACATGAATATGAAGAGCACTTCCAACCCATAGCTGTTAAACAAATGCTCCTGAATATCCACTATGGAGTTTCACACTGGTATCCATACCATAATTCTCATAAGAAGATAAACATCACAGAATTATTTGGGCACCAGGAAGTTGGAGACAATCTGTAAGTCCATGTGGTGGGTGACTCCTGTAGAGACCAGTCTTCAGAAGCAATGGTTGTACCACAGCAAGATGGGTGGGTATAAAAAACCCAATGTGAAATATGGACTCATATGCATAGATAATTTTATAAATCAGTAACATTTATGCAAATTGTAAACACATTGCACAAAAATCAACAATATACATTCCTAAGATAACACCTACACCTACACACAGACACACACACACACCGAAGACATGCATTGCCTATGGGGAAACAGAAATGAAGAATGGAAATAAGATGAATAAATGAATGAATCAACCAATCAATCAAGGGGTGAGCGTTGTTGGGGGCTGACTAATTGTAATAACGTGACATCGACTGAGTTGTGTGATTAACTGAGCTTTTGCATCCTTATATTGCATGACAGAAGGAAATTTGCAGATGGAATTAAGATTGGGGAACTTAAAATGGATTACTCAGCATTATCTTGATGAACTCATTATAGTCACGGGAACCCTTAAAAGTGGAAGAGGAAGGCAAAAGAGTCACAGGAGGCCAGAGGAAGAGGCAAAAGAGACCTGAAGCTTGAGAGGGACTGTAACCACTGTCTTCGGTTGATGAGAAGGAGAAAGGAACTATAAGACAAGGAGTAAGGACGTCTTCTATTAATAGAAGCTGGGGTGGCCCTCAGTGAACAGCCAACAGGGAAACAGGAGCCTCAGTGCACAAGCACAAGGAAGAACGTGAATGGGAAGGAAACTGATTCTCCCCTACAGCAGCCAGGAAGAAACACAGCCCTGCAGACACCTTGATTTGAGCCTGGTGAAATCCGCAGTGAATTTCCAACGTATCTTTTAAAAATGTGAGGTAACAAATTTGCACTGTTTTAAGGCACTATGTGGTCATTTGTTCTGGCAAGAATTGAAAGCTAATGCAGATTGAAGCAGAAAATAACGTTTTCCCTGGATCACGGAGCTCGTGAATTTTTCCGGAGACTCATGAATTGATAAGCTTGAATTTTTAAAGAGACCAGCAGGGGTTGCAGCAGGCACCCTCATCAATCAGATACAACTTGATTGGCAGGCCAGGAGCATTAAAAACAGTGCGTTGCCTTCAGCCTCATCTTAGTGCATTGCAGGTGTGTCTGTCTGCCTCATAGATGTACCTGGGCACAGGTGTACTTCTGATTAACCATTATATTAAAAGAAGCCACTCGACATCCCAGTGGAGGGAGACTTATTTCTCCTGTGAGTACAGGCTGCATGACACTCCCTCCCTGGAAACCATCCAGCTGTCAGCCAAACGTGGCAAGCACACTTAAGGCGAGGAGCTCTGGCGTACAATGTGTGGTCAGAAGAACTGAGGCCGGAGGAAAGGCTGCGGTGGACTTCAGGAAATAAAGACGTGTTTGGAGGTAACGTCAGTAGTCTCGTCACCTAATACCCAGTTCTCTCCTGTTGGTGGAAATGTGTCCTATTTTCTTCTGGGAGGCCACCCTGACTTGAGTCAGCCCTTGTGGCCTGGTTGGAGCCCAGTTGCTCTAGGAATGGACACTGGACCAGAATATTCTATTCTCTGTGTTACAGGAATCTCTCCAGGGATAAGCTTCTATTTCAACTTTAGCCAGCGAGAGGCATTCTTGGTTTCTGAACTTCAACCTCAGTATTTAGGACAGCAGCTAGCACATAGTAGGTATACATAAATATCGATAAATAAATGAACCACAGTAATTTATGCTGTTATTTAATTGAAAGCAAATCAGATTTTCCAAATACATGTATTTATTTGTCAGTGGTTTAATTAACGTTTCCAAGAGTTGTAAACGTTAATTAAACCACTGACAATAAATTGTCATGGTTTTGTATAATTTGATAATAATTTGACAGCGGTTTAATATAATTCACATATAATTTGTCAATGGTTTAAAATAATATGATTTTGGCAATAATTTGTCAGTGGTTTAATTAATGTTTCCGACTCTGGTCCGCAGAGGTCTGCTTTGCTCTTTCGGCATCTTTCCTTTGGTAGAGTCTATGTCCCACCAGGGGAGGGACCACATATCTACTGTTTCCTGTTATGTCCCCAGGGCCTAGTAGAATGCCTGGCACACTCTAGGCACTCAGGAAATATTCGTTGAGTGAGTGAGTGAGTGAGTGAATGGGTAAATGAATGGCACTCTTATTCTCAGCCTTAATACTGTTGTTCTTCCTGGATTTTTGTTTTAAGCTCTCTGGGTTTTTAGCTTGGCTTCTGGCTCTTTGAGAATCTGGAGCCCACTGAGATACAACCTTTTCAGTCTAGTTCAATAAGAAACAAGCACCAACAGCGGACTCACACTCTCTGGCCTCTAGGAAAGCCCTGGCCAGCTCATGAGGTCCATTGATGCATAATTTAGTCCAAAGAACTGAATATTTAATATGCATTATATGCTAAGCTGAGCCCAGGCACATGTTAATTTACCTGTCACCAACCACTAAAAAAAGTCCCTTGTTTTAGAATTTATAGAAAATATGCCAGCATGACCATTTTACTGCCACTTCTTGAAATTTATACTAATGCAGTATATAGAAAATAACATGCCACCAATGTCCCTACCACAGAGATTAAGATTTCTCCATGTTGGTGAGCATTTATTAAACATGACACTGCAGCATGGTTCACAGAAGAGGAAAAGATACATTGGACTCTGTCGAATAAAAATGCTTGCTCTATATAAGGGCCCGTTAAGAAGATGAGAAGACAGGCCAGGCGCTGTGGCTCATGCCTGTAATCCCAGCACTTTGGGAAGCCGAGACAGGCAGATCATGAGTCAGGAGATCAAGACCATCCTGGCTAACACAGTGAAACCTTGTAGCTACTAAAAATACAAAAAATTAGCCGGGTGTGGTGGTGCGAGCTGGTAGTCCCAGCTACTCGGGTGGCTAAGGTAGGAGAATCACTTGAACCTGAGAGGCGGAAGTTGCAGTGAGCCGAGATTACACTACTGCCCTGCAGCCTGGTGACAGATTGAGACTCCATCTCAAAAAAACAAAAAAAAACAATAACAAAAAAAAAAAAAACTGTGCCTGTTGAAACACACAGCATGAATTAATTTTCCCTGCAGATTAACATTTCCTTATATGAATATAGGAATATGTGTGTATCCACTCACCTGCTGTTGGGCATTTGAGATTAACTGCCTTGTGATGGGTGCCTCTATGAGCACAGCACAGCATGAGAATTCAGATGCTGAGAATAAAAAGACCTGGGTTCAAATTTAGCTTGCTCACGTTTATTCCTTTGTAGAAAACACTGAGCCTCAGTTATCTCATCTGGAAAATAGGGATCACAATCATTAATACTTCTGAAAACTGCTGTGAGGAACTGAATAGGATGGATGAGTGAAAAACAGCCGTTTTCACACCTCTGTCATACGCGCAGAGTTGAAAATTCTAGGGGTGTAGAACTTCCAACCACATTTTACTCATGTCCTATGAATACCATTAGACTTTCACCAGGTTGCATTTATCAAACCAACCCTGACTCCTCCCTTCAAGCCTCCTCCTTCAGGAAGGTTCCTGTGGGTCCCCCTGGGCTGCACTGACCCCTTCCTTTTCTGAGGTCACACCCTGTCTGCATCACTTCCTCAAAACCTTAAACAGAAGACTGCATGGCCACACAATCCCCAGCTCAGTGGTTTCTAGCTCTCACTGTCCTGCGAGGTCTGAGGCTCCTTCTGTGACAGGAGGAAGGGCTGTTACTAGAAATCAGGAGTGAATTTTCACAGGATTTCATATTTTCCACATGCCAAGCTCAGTTTCATTCCAATTAACACTGCCCTACCCCTAGTATGACACCCACTCCAAACCACTTATTTTCCCCCATGGGTAAAAGCTTCTCGAGGTATTGTCAGATTTAGATACCAAGATTTAATGTATCTAAATATATCTCACTGAAAAATAAATTCAGTTTTGGCTAAAGCTATTGTTACTTCTCAAATTCAGACTGAACTAGCAATGTAAAACAAAAGCAGAACATTCACAAGAAAAGATACAAACATGGTTCTCAGACATAAACACGAGTTCAAGGTACTCATAATTAGATTACTATAAAAACAACACTGAGATATGCATATTGGGATAATCCTTCTGCGAGGAAATTTGGCAATACTTTCGGGCCAACATTCATTCCTTTGGAAATCCACCCTGAAAATACACCTCCAAAAGCATATTTTTTAAAAGGTGCAGTTTATTCACTGCAGCATTTCTTCTAACTGCAAAATACTGGAAACAATAAGAAATGTCCATCAGAGAAGAGTGGTTGTCTAGATTACGGTACACCTACACATAAGGTCTGACACAGCTATTCAAGAAAATACTGAATAATGCTCTGAATTAAATTCAAATAATTTCCAGGATATACTGTTCGACGTACAAAGAGAGAAAAAATACTGTGGTATCCTTCACGTAAGACAGAACGAGATTGAGAAAATGCACAGCTATTTGTTTATTGTTGCAAAAGAAGTACAGGAACAATGAAACAGAAACCGAAGAGAATGAAGGTGATATGGAAAGCAGCGGGAAGAAGAGGAAACAGTGGGGTCGGGACGGGGAGGAAGGCACACCTCCCTGAGGAGAGTTTTCATATCATTTTTACTCAGAACCACAGCTATGTTTCTACACACTAAAAATGAATAAATGGTATTTAAAACCAGGTTGCGGGGGAAAGCAAGATGGAGTATAAACAGTAACTAGCAGCCTAACAAATGAGCAACATCACCACACGAAAGGAGCGAGAAGGAAAAGAGCTAGCCTAAGTAACTTCAGAAACTACATTTCAGCTCAGTCTAGTAAAGCAAAATACAGTTAGCAATTGTGAAACAACAGACACTAGGATTAAGCCAATAAGTAAATATATAAGGAACATGAGAGCCAGTTTTCTCACTGTCAGAGGAAGAAATTACAAATAAGGGAAGGGAGAAACCTGGAACGAACCTTGGTGCTGTATCCAAATCAGGGGTGCCAATGCAAACCATGTTTTTAATAGGTAGATGATTGATAGACAGATAGATAGAAAGATAGAGAGAGAGAGAGAGAGAGAGAGAGAGAGAGAGAGAGAGAGAGATACATGCATACATACATACATACGTAGATTGTAGAAAGATAGATGTGCATGTGTGTACAATAATTAGCATAACATGTATATTTCCTAGCTTTCTGTACTGAGGGGGCTTAAGAACAATGATATCCCAGTGGCAATAAGCATAATGTGAGACATAAGTGCAAAAGGACATTCACCAAAACTCCCCAAGAATATTCTCAGCAGGCGCCGTGGCTCACGCCTGGAATCCCAACACTCTGAGAGGCCAAGGCAGGCAGATCACCTGACGTCAGGAGTTCAAGACCAGACTGGCCAACACAGTGAAACCTCATCTCTACTAAAAATACCAAAATTAACTGGGCTTGCTGGTTCATGCCTGTAATCTCAGCTACTCCGGAGGCTGAGGAGGAGAACGGCTGGGAGGTAGGGGTTGCAGTGAGCTTAGATAGTGCCACTGCAGTCTAGCCTGGGCAACAGAGTAAGGCCCTGTCTCAAAAAAATAAAGAAAATATTCTCTATTATGCAGCATAAAAATATTCTCTATTTGAAGCAGACATACTGATGACCAGATTTGGGACTAAAACATTCAAACTGTATCTTCTAAGTAAATATTTAAATTATCCATGAGTTTCACATACAGAAAAGGAAATTAAGGAAATGCCAATCTTAAATATGTTTCCTTTAATTATCCATGGGTTTATTAACTTAAACATATACCTCCAAAATATTGATTTACACAAGAAATTTCAGGTGGCATCCTCCCTCCTCATGATTACAGCAAATTCCTCTGGGAGTTCTGGGAGGTTTATACTCCTGTCCCCACCATGCCGCAAGCAAAATGTAAGACAAATTTTGTCTGAAAGCTTTTATGGAAAGTCATAAACATCAGCTGGCAGGTCCTCGTTTTTGTCCTAGAACAAGCTTGCCACAAAATGTGATATCAGAATTTAGGAACATTTTATGAAGCCACGGGGCTGTGTATGGATAAATGCTGTATGCACTGACAAGCCATCATTCCTCCTTTTAATCTCCGAAGCCAGTATACTAACATCAGTCTTCTTCCCATCAGTAGGTGACACAACTGTTGTCCATGTTCTGAATGAGAAGTGAAGCTGTATTTGGCTCGATATTTTCTGAGATCGCTTTCACCACCCTGCTGCATGAGGCATAACCTTGGCTGGGAGCATGAGAAAGCCTTTGGGGGGTATAGAGCTATAAAAGTCCTCTTGGCATTGCCCTCATTATGAGCCATAGGAAGAATTAAGTTCAGAGATTCCAAAAGAAAGCGAGAGCCCATAATATGCACCAGACAGAAAGAAGCTCCCAGAGAGGATATCCTGCCCTGGCAATGCCAAGAAAGCTGGCTCCAAGAAAGCCCCAGAGAGCTTCCAGGAAAATATCATGGCCTTCTGCTATGCAGGACACAGGGAATCCTGCCAGAAACACCATGACACAAAGGGCTTGAGTGCACAAAACCGCTGTGTGCAAATCTTTACCTGGAACACACGAATTGTCCTGGAAAGGTGTCATAGTCAGGATGGGCAAAACCTCTCCCTCCAAGTACACAGGCAGTGCCATGTGAACACTGCTACAATGTTCAGTCTTCAAATGGACCCCTTTCATTAAAATTCCACATGTCCCTGCAGAGCTAACTACCCATTGTGTGGCCACTGGTTACCAACCTGAGAGTGAGGACCTGGGGTGTTTCTGGAGTTGAGAGCATTTATCTTACTCATGAAGGACAGCTTAGGACAATCCAGCTCATTTTTAATGGCCTTCCTAGTGGTAAGGTTGTGAATGAGTGTATGCCCTCCAAATTAGTTTTCTATGCTGCTGCATAGGAACAAAACTACTACAAATGTACTGGCATAAAACAACGCAATTTATTATTGTACAGGGCTGGAGGTCAAAAGCCTTCACACCAAGATGTCAGCAGGGCTGTATCACTCTGGCAACCCTTGGAGAGAATCCACTCCCTTGCCTTTCTCAGCGTCTAGGGCCACCTGTGCTTCCTGGCTCATGGTCTCCTTCCATCTCCAAAACTAGCACACATCACGTCAGCCTCTGCACCAGTAATTCCATCTCCTTCTTTGAGGCTGACTGCACAGCCTCTTTTCACTTCTAAGTACCATTCCAAGATAATCTCCCTGTCTCAAGAGCTTCAATTTAATCATAATGCAAGTCCCTAATACTAGGTCCGCAAACGTGTCCACAGGTTCCAGTTTAGAACATGGATGTTTTGTGGGGACTACAAAACATCTGCCTGCCATAGGCCTCAAGTGCCTTATACATCCACCCTTAAATCTTACTTATTTTATTGGTTCAGCAAACCCTCTTTTTAAACCTCTAGTACAAATAAAAACTTAAGCCTAATGTCTACATTAATTTTCCAAGAAATGGTGTAAATCTTCCAACAGAGAGTATTCCATAATCATATGAAAAAATGCTCATCGTCACTGGTCATCAGAGAGATGCAAATCAAAACCACATTGAGATACCATCTCACGCCAGTTAGAATGGCGATCATTAAAAAATCTGGAGACAACAGATGCTGGAGAGGATGTGGAGAAAAAGGAACACTTTTACACTGTTGGTGGGAGTGTAAATTAGTCCAACCATTGTGGAAGACGGTATGGCGATTCCTCAAGGCCTTAGAAATAGAAATCCCATTTGACCCAGCAATCCCATTACTGGGTATATATCCAAAGGACTATAAATCGTTCTACTACAAGGACACATGCACACGAATGTTCATTGCAGCACTGTTTACAATAGCAAAGACCTGGAATCAACCCAAATGCCCATCGATGATAGACTGGATTGGGAAAATGTGGCACATATACACCATGGAATATTATGCAGCAATCAGAAATGATGAGTTCGTGTCATTTATAGGGACATAGATGAATCTGGAGAACATCATTCTCAGCAAACTGACACAAGAACAGAAAATGAAACACCGCATATTCTCACTCATAGGCGGGTGATGAAAAATGAGAACACATGGACACAGAGAGGGGAGTACTAAACACTGGGGTCTATAGGGGGAAAAGGGGAGGGCCAGTGGGAGGGGGAGGTGGGGAGGGATTGCCAGGGGAGAAATACCAAATGTGGGTGAAGGGGAGAAAGCAAACAAAACACACTGCCCT